TGCACTGGATGGCAGACTGTATCCCAGAATGCAATGCACTTCAGTGTTCAGAGTTTAATGTGTGTGATGGAGGAAGCAGGCGTGAGATCTGCCACAAATACTCTTTTTTGACCCAACGTTCAGCTTGACAGAACATGAGACGACCTCTGCAAAAGGCATTTCTGAGATCATTTAAATAAGCATTCTCGCAAACTGAAGTATAATATTTTACTAATATTATTAATGTACTTGCCGGCCACTTTATTAGGTACACCTGTCCAACTGCTCAATAATGCAGATTTCTAATCAGTCAATCACATGGCAGCAACTCAATGCATTTAGGCATGTAGACATGGTCAGGAGGATCTGCTGCAGTTCAAACTGAGCATCAGAATGGGGAAGAAAAGGGATTTAAAAGACTTTAAACGTGGCATGGTTGTTGCTGCCAGACGGGCTGCTCTGAGTATTTCAGAAACTGCTGATCTACTGGGATTTTCACGCACAACCATCTCTAGGGTTTACAGAGAATGGTCCAACAAAGAGGAAATATCCAGTGAGCGGCAGTTCTGTGGGCGCAAATGCCTTGTTGATTCCAGAGGAGAGTGGCCAGACTGGCTCCAGCTGATAGAAAGGCAACAGTAACTCAAATAAGCACTCGCTACAACCGAGCTCTGCAGAAGAGCATCTCTGAACACACAACACGTCCAACCTTGAGGTGGATGGACTACAGCAGCAGAAGAGCACACCGGGTGCCGCTCCTGTCAGCTAAGAACAGGAAACTGAGGCTACAATTCACACAGACTCACCAAAACTGCACAATAGAAGATTGGAGAAACGTTGCCTGCTTTGATGAGTCTCCATTTCTGCTGACACATTCGGATGCTCGGGTCAGAATTTGGCCTCAACATCATGAAAGCATGGATCATCCTGCCTTGTATCAGCGGTTCAGGCTGGTGGTGGTGGTGTAATGGTGTGGGGGAGATTTTCTTTGGGTTCATTAGTACCAGTTGAGCATCAACGCCACAGCCTACCTGAGTATTGCTGCTGACCATGTCCATCCCTTTATGAGCACAGTGTCTCCATCTTCTGATGGCTACTTCCAGCAGGATAACGCAGCATGTCATAAAGCTCAATCATCTCAGACTGGTTTCTTGAACATGACAATGAGTTCACTGTACTCAAATGGCCTCCACAGTCCCCAGAGCTCAATCCAATAGAGCAAATTTGCGATGTGGTGAAACGGGAGATTGGCATCATGGATGAATCCATGCCACAATTGATTAAGGTAGTTCTGAAGGCAAAAGGGGTCCAACCTGGTACTAGTAGGGTGTACCTATTAAAGTGGCCAGGCAGTGTATATGTAATGTATATAATTTATAATATAATATTAATTAAATTTATAGTAAAAAAAAAGATACAAAATAATAGTAATATGGTGCTTTTTAAAAAAAATCATATTTTACTCTATGATATATGTTTATATTAAGACAATGACGAGGTTAATATTAATCTAATAAATATATTATGCCAAAATCACAAAATATTATCTAAGGTAAATCTAATATAATCTTATAAATGTATCTGTGTCAGTTTATATGTGTGTTTATGAGTGTGTGCTTGTGTGTGTTTTTCTTGAGGAAAAGAGTAGGCTGTGTTAGTGGACACAGTGAAGCTTATATGTCTGTTCACACACGATGAACAGTGATGTTGTTGTGAATGAATGAATGTAGAAGTGTGTGTGTTAATGTGATTATTTCTGCTTGAGCGCATCCAGCAGCTGCACAACACTGATCCTCACAGCTGCACGTCTGTCTTTCTGTCTCGCTTTCACACATACTGTACAGACTTTTCTGGAAAACTACCGGTAAATTACCATGAAGAGCTCATGTGTGAAAATGACTTCAGGCAGTTTTTTTCCGTAATGAGAAAGTGTAACAAGAGTGATGGGGTCAAAAGGTCACACGAGGTCACACAGGGGTCAAAATTAGAACTCTGTAGCCATGTAATGTATTATATTTGAATTTGAATGTACTTCCCAACTGTCAAAATGAGTTCCGCCAATGTTCCGGAATGAGAAATTGCAACATTGTAACAAATCGTAGCATCAGCAGTAAATTGCTGTAATTTTGCTGTGTGTGAATTTAACGGTGAAGTAGTTCTGTAATTTTACAGCAATTTACCAGTTTTACTGTGTGATCATTTGTTTCTGTGATATCAGACGTGTCTCTCTCTGCGTTTCTCAGGTGTTTTTATGCTGGTGAGCGTTCAGGATTCTGCTTAAATTGAAATGAAAAAAAATTAAATATAAAAAATAAAGCTTATTGCGAACATAAATAAATTCAATAATCATTCATTTTCTTGTCGGCTTAGTCCCTTTATTAATCCGGGGTCGCCACAGCGGAATGAACTGCCAACTTATCCAGCAAGTTTTTACGCAGCGGATGCCCTTCCAGCCGCAACCCATCTCTGGGAAACATCCACACACACACACTCATACACTACAGACAATTTAGCCTACCCAATTCAACTGTACTGCATGTCTTTGGACTGTGGGGGAAACCGGAGCACCCGGAGGAAACCCACGCGAAGGCAGGGAGAACATGCAAACTCCACACAGAAACGCCAACTGAGCCGAGGCTCAAACCAGTGACCTTCTTGCTGTGAGGCAACAGCACTACCTACTGCGCCACTGCCTCGCCAATTCAATAATCATATAAAATGAATACTACAGCAGACCTAAACTGGCATGAAAATGATTGAACATCAAAACCATGAATAAATAATATTTTCATTAAGTACCCTCTGATATGAAGTGTTATTTTAACAATACAGATGTCTCAGTCACACTTTAGCGGTTAAATATCAGCATTTATATAAGACACTTAAAACATCTCAAAATTGCATATATTTATTAAGTTAAAATAGGTCACAGGGTCACACAGGGTTAAAACGAGAACACTTCGGCTGCGTCTGAAATAGTCTACAACTCAAGCAGGCACTACTCTTAAATTTGAATGTACTAAACAACCCATAGAAAAGTGTGCTCTATGTAGTATGAATGGAATTGGAACATACTACATCCGCTGTTTGTCATGATCACATGACCTACCCGCATCGCTTCACTCCCATTCATGAATAGACGTAGCGCCCATTGGATGCGCACTACAGAGTCGCCCCAAAAGTAGTTGGTCATCCGGGGGTACTTCTTGCATACTGTTTTTACACATTCTATGAATTCAGACATACTACTCAGCTCATATACTGTTCTGCAGGGTAATTGGTAAACAGATGAATGGTTGTGGCAGGCAGCAAAACAAACATAAGCATATGAAAACAACGGTCAAAACACAGCTAGACAATACAGGAAATGCTTTGTAATGCTCACTACTGAGAAAACAAGACACATGGATGTGTGTGAGTGGTGTGTATAGACCTTTTTCTTGGAACGCAAAATTACCCATTATGCTTTGCGTGTATGCGCAAGGAGAATGCGAAGAACTTCCGGTCGGCAGCTGATGCGTGTAAACAGTCACATTTGGACAGCTTTGAAACAAAGTTTTAATCTATTTTACCTGCTTTTATCCTCTTTGAACTAATACTGTTGTCCATCAGCAGCATCTCCTGGACTGATCATTTACAGAAATGCGATCTAATAGGATGGAAAACAGCTGCTGTGAGGCGTTTCCCCCTCGTCAGACGGCATCTTCTGCAGTTTAGATGAAGCCTCGTCATCGCTAAAGTCAACATTTTCTCTTTATTTCACATATATAACCAGCCCAAACTAATGTAGTTCAGCATAATGTTTGACACACACACGTAGCCTGTACTGTGCCACTGACACACTGATTTAATAACTGTGACAAAGTGGAAATAAAGGCTAGTGTCATTTCCAAATGACAGAAAAACACAAACCGTGGTGAAAACAACACACGAAATAAAACACAAACGGCTCGCGACTAGAATGAACAGCAAATCAGCAGCAGAGGATCAATAACAGACTTTTATTGCTCATTTGTGTAAATTGCACGACTTTCATACCTGTTAAGCTTCATGCCAGTACTCTGGTTTGCTCTCTCTCTCTCTCTCTCTCTCTCTCTCTCTCTCTCTCTGTGTGTGTGTGTTAAAGAGCCGCTGAGCTAGCAGCTGACAGGCCGGGATCGCACACACACTGTATTTCTGACAGCAGACACGTGAACTAGGAGAACGTTTTTCTCGTATTTCTGACGGACTTGAACCACATGTGACAGATTATAACGGCTTTAACAGACACATCTCTAAGTTGTGTGTCACAAAAACACTCTGTTATCCATTAAAAACGTTATTGAAACCCATTTTCGGAGCGCAAGTTACCAGTTGTACACGCTGTAAACGGAAGTTTTTAGCATTCTACCAAAAGACGCTGGTCGCTATGGCGCCCTCCATGCAGCAGCCATGAAAAAGGTCTATATAGTCCAAGTAGTTAGTCCTGATAAGCTTTAGCTGTGTGTAATCAGGAGGTGAATGAAAACAGGTGTGTGACTGAAGGGCATGATGGGATTTGTAGTTCGGTAGAATGACAGGGAGTGTTCTCCAGCAGCCTGCAAGCGCAACACTACTGGTGACCATAACAGCACTATATAAGGTGGAAATATTCGATTTCCGATGCAGCCTGTAGCTGCGTAATGTACTGTATTTGAATTTGAATGTACTTCCTAACTGTCAAAATGAGTTCCGACAATGTTCCGTAATGAGAAATTGCAACATTGTAACAAATCGTAACGTCAGCAGTGAAGGAATTCTGCCGTGTGTGTGTGTGTGTGTGTGAACTGCGCATGTGGTTGTTTTGGTTGTTGTGGTAAGCATTATGTCTTTGCTTATATATTATTAAAAGCTGTTTCATCACTCTCTCGATTGCCCAAGAAAAAAAAGTGCCTCCCTAGAGAGAGAAATAATGATGAAGATTTTCATTTACCTGTAAAGCTGTTCTGTGATTCGATTGGGTGATGGTTGTCTCATCTGCCGTATCTCTCTGTGTTTGTCAGGTGTGTGCGTCAGCGTTCAGGATGCCGCTGGTCAAGCGCAGTATTGAGCCTCGTCATCTGTGCCACACGGCTCTTCCTCACAGCATTAAGAATGAACTGGAGTGTGTGACCAACATCTCTCTGGCCAACGTCATCCGGCAGCTCAGCAGCCTCAGTGAGACACTCACGTTAAAACTTCTTTTCTGAACGTCAGCATTTCTGAAAACACAGTATTCTTAGTCAAACATAACAATATGGATCTTATTAGATTACTAGCATTCATATCTGACTTTAAAAACTCTTTAAACATCTCAAAATTACATAGAATTCTTGTCAAATATAAAGAGTGTTTTTTTCTTTTAATTAGTTTATAATTTCAGCATTCATTTATTTTCGTTTCGGCTTAGTCCCTTTATTTATTAGGGGTCGCCACAGCAGAATGAACCGCCAACTAATCCAGCATATGTTTTACGCAGCGGATGCCCTTCCAGCAACAACCCAACACTGGGAAACACCCATACGCACTCATTCACACACATACGCTATGGCTAATTTAGCTTACCCAATTCCCCTATAGCGCATGTGTTTGGACTGTGGGGGAAACCGGAGCACCCAGAGGAAACCCACGCCAACACGGGGAGAACATGCAAACTCCACACAGAAATGACCACTGACCTAGCCGAGACTCGAACCAGTAACCTTCTTGCTGTGAGGCCACAGTGCTAACCATTTGGACACCATGTTTTTTATTATAATACTTGTAAAATTTACCATAAAACATAATTAAATAAATAAATACAAATAAATTATATATATATATATTAATCTGGATTCCTTGAGGGCTGCAGCTCTGCACAGTTTTGTTCCAACCCTCATCAAATACAGCTGATCAAACTAATCAAGGTGTTTAAGACCACTAGAGACTGCTAAGTAGGTGTGAGTTGGAGGTGGTGTGTGAGCTGAACTAAACAGAGCTGTGGGTCTCCAGGAATTGAGTGTGGGACCACTGATATCTATCTTTATATACATCTATGAGCAATACCACACGTGTAGCAGTGCAATATGGCTGTATATCAGCACTGGTGGGAGGCGTGCGTTGGCACGAGGCCACAGGCCAAGTTCTTTAGTGTCCCATCAGTGCTGATATACAGCCATATGGCACTGCTACTTGTGTGATATTGAGCTTATACAGCAGTTTGACGGCACAATCATGTATATAAAAAAGAAAATCAAACACAGAGAGTCTAAAAAACCCTTTTGTAAGAGGAACTACTTTCTTCCGCCATTCATTCACATCTGCAGCTGACGTCAAAACAGCAGAAACTGCTGCTCATTCACCAACCTCACTGTAGAGCGAGTGTTTGACTGATTCTCTAGCGTAATGTCTACAATGATGACAAAACTGCTGATTTTGCTCACATTTTAAGATTTTAAGGCTGAACGAGACATGAAATGAAGAGCTGTCTCACAGAAATGTTTAAGTATTTTAAAATAGGCGCTATCCTTATAAATAAACTGCTTAGTTGCAATCTAAACAGCTAAATTCTCGACTAAAAAGCATCAAAAGTGCATTATGTTGTCCAACAGCTGCAATATTTGTCAAACTGTAGTCCTCTGCTTGTCGCTGTATGTGGGCGGAGTAATACACAAGGGTGAGTGCTGTTACTGGCAGAATATCGCACGGCTATCAGCCAATCAGATTCAAGAACCAGACAGAACTTATGTGTGTGTGTGTGTGTGTGTGTGTGTGTGTGTGTGTGTGTGTGTGTGTGTGTGTGTGTGTGTGTGTGTGTGTGTGTGTGTGTGTATATATATATATATACAGTTGAAGTCAGAATTATTAGCCCCCCTAAATTATTAGCGCCCCTGTTTATTTTTTTCCCCAATTTCTGTTTAATGGAGGGAAGATTGTTTCTGCACATTTCTAATCATAATAGTTTAAAAAACCTATTTCTAATAACTGATTTATTTTCTCTTTGTCATGATGACAGTAAATAATATTTTACTAGATATTTTTCAAGACACTTCTATACAGCTTAAAGTGACATTTAAAGGCTTCACTAGGGTAATTAGGTTAACTAGGCAGGTTAGGGTAATTAGGCAAGTTATTGCATAATGATGGTTTGTTCTGTAGATTGTCGAAAAAAATTGCTTAAATGGGCTAATAATTTTGTCCCAAAAATGGTTTTTAAAAAATTAATAACTGCTTTTATTCTTGCTGAAATAAAACAAATGAGACTTTCTCCAGAAGAAAAAATATTATCAGACATACTGTAAAAATTTCCTTGCTCTGTTAAACATCATTTTGGAAATATTTAAAAAAGAAAAAAATTAAATGGGGCAAATAATTCTGACTACAACTGTATGTATATTTGTATTACATTGACTGTAATTCCATTCAATAAATAAAAATATATATAAATAAATAATTTATTACATAAAATTAATAAATAAAATACAAAATAAATCATAAGAATAATGATTGTATTACAGTACACATATAATAAATTAAGTTTAAAATAATAATAAAAAATAATCATTGCGTAAACTGTAATCACATCCAATATAATGCTCATTTATATCTAGAAGTGTGTGTGTGTGTGTGTGTGTGTGCTGATTTTCTGCTGGTTTGTGTGTGTGTGTCCAGGTAAATATGCGGAGGATTTGTTCGGTGAGCTCTTTAATGAAGCTCATTCGTTCTCGTTTCGAGTGAATTCACTGCAGGAGCGAGTCGACCGTCTGTCAGTCAGCGTCACTCAACTAGACCCCAAAGAGGAGGAGCGTGAGTACACACACACACACACACACACACACACACACACACACACACACATACTGTACAAAAGCATACACACTGACACACACACACTGTCTCTCTCAAACACACAAAAACAGACACACACACACACACACACACACACACACACACACACACACACACACACACACACACACACACACACACACACAGATATACTCTTACATGCAGACACACTGACACACACACACTGTCTTTCTCAAACACACAAAAACAGACACACACACACACACATACACACACACACACACACACACACACACACAGATATACTCTTACATGCAGACACACTGACACACACACACACACACACACACATATACTGTACAAAATCATACACACTGACACATACACACTGTCTCTCTCAAACACACACAAACAGACACACACACCCAGACACACAGGTATACTCTTACAAGCAGACACACTGACACACACACACACGTACACGCACACACACACAGAAATACTCTTACAAGCAGACACACTCACACACACACACACACACACACACACACACACACACAAGCACACACAAACACATATACTGTACAAAAGCATACACACTGACACACACTCACACTATCTCTCTCAAACACACAAAAACAGACACACACAAACACACACACACACAGATATACTCTTACAAGCACACACACTGACACACACAGATATACTCTTACAAGCAGACACACTGACACACACACACACACACACACACAGATATACTCTTACAAGCACACACACTGACACACACACACACACACACAGATATACTCTTACAAGCAGACACACTGCCACACACACACACACACACACAGATATACTCTTACAAGCAGACACACTGACACACACACACACACACACACAGATATACTCTTACAAGCAGACACACTGACACACACACACACACACACACACAGATATACTCTTACAAGCAGACACACTGACACACACACACACACACACACACACACAGCTATACTCTTACAAGCAGACTCACTGACACACACACACACACACACAGCTATACTCTTACAAGCAGACTCACTGACACACACACACACACTGACACACACACATATACTGTACACAAGCAGACACATCGACACTCTCTCTCTCACTCATACATATATTGGCCAACAGGGCTGGGTTCACACCAAAAGCTGAAGAGGCAAATTTCTCACGTGTGGTGTATTCTGCATGGTTGGAGCGCTGGACAGAAACCCGCCGCTGTTGTCATGTCTGCATTGACCTGTATGCAGAAATTTACTTTCCAGTAACCCGAGCACTTCCGGTGAACCTTAGTTACACATGACAGTAGCACATGACAGTAGTCTTGTGGCCTATCCAAGTTTTAGGAGCAGTAAGTAATAACTGGACTTCTAGTTGATGATCTGGTGACAGAAGTGTCTCATATGAAAGGTAAAGGCCTCTAGATTTTGCTGATTTGAGCTCAATAAAATCTGATCATGTCTTGATGTTGACTGATTTGATGAGGACAGTGCGGTCTGACTCTGCTCAGACTAAAGTCTCATCACTGAACAGAAATAATGTCCAGTATAGAATATAAAGTCCTGCTGCAGTGGAGACAGAATGAATATTGTGTCTGACTCCATCATGAGCTTGGAGGACTGCATCCATACATCTCTGACATGACTCAAATCACTGATTAATAAAGTCATCTGGAATGAAGAAGAAAGCGTTCAGCAGGACTCCCAGAGTTCATCAAGAGTCTTTGTGTTCATCTTCAACAACTCCTCCTTCACCATGCTCAATAATGTTCATGTCTGGTGACTGGGCTGGCCAATCCTGGACCACTCTCTGCTTTCAGGATCTTTGATGTGGAGGCTGAAGTATGAGCAGGAGCGCTATCCTGCTGGAGAATTGTCCCTCTGCTGTGGTTTGTAATGTAATGGGCAGCACAAATGTCTTGATACCTCAGGCTGTTGATGTTGATCATCCACTCTGCAGATCTCTCGCACACCCCCATACTGAATGTAGACCCCAAACCATGATGTCATCTTCACCAAACTTGACTGATTTCAGTGAGAATCTTGGTCCATGCTGGTTCCAGTAGGTCTTCTGCAGTATTGGTGATGATTGATGCAGATCAACAGATGATTCAGCAGAGAAATCCACCTTCAACACTTTTACACATCATCAACTAGAAGAAGTCGAGATTTTATTTGCTGCTCTTACAACTGAGATCCACCACATCACTTCTGTCAGGTAGTGTATGCCGTTACAAAATCAATTTGGTTTCTTTAAAAATCACTGATCTTCACTGCCTGATTGATATAGGATATACAGTGGGTCTCAGGTCTACGTGTGGACTTCTCAGGCTGACTCTCAGGGAGTTCGTGAAGTGTCTGTGGGTAGAAATACTCTTGTCATGAACACAGAGTGGATCTGACAGCAGTAGGACTCAGTAAAGCCTGAGACGGGCCTTTCGCAGGGTAATAACTGTAATAGTGGAGTGAATTACCGGTGTGAGGATCCTGTGAAGCGTGTCAGTGAGGCGAATCAGCCGCAGCGCTCCGTCACTCTGACTCTGCAGCAGATCTGAAGAGAAAGGAGCTGCAGGATCCATCAACATCCACAAGCAGAGAGAAACACTGCGTTCACATTCAGCTTTTCTTTCAAGGAGTTCGATTTGGATTAGATATATTCGAATATTCCTGACAATTTGACTTGAATAAAAGTAATATGTAGCATTATGCTTCATCATATTTGAACAGCAATAATAATGATAGTAACACAGTTTTTCTTGTTTGCTTTGACCTGGTTAAAGAAACTAGGTTCCACTTTATTTTCATTTTCACTTTCCCAGCAGAGCAGAAGACCGGTATTGCAAATGTGTAAACCCTTTCTCATTGGGTTGACACATTTTCCCCACCATTTTTCCAAACAGTTAACACAGATGTCACTCAAGCAGTCCAAACTCCATTGCTTTAGTTATGGTAACCAAACAGAAACCATCTATTCCTAACTATTAGAAACTACCAACATCAATATGAATTCAGTGAAGCACCGGATTGACACTCCTTCACACAAATCTTCAATCAGCAATCAGTCTGCAAACCTTATAAAACGGTGGAAGGTCTGTGTTGTTCTGTGCCAGCATGGCTGGAGGAGGTCAATAGTGGCTATGTCCTTTACTCCTAATAGATTTGACTGTATATTGGTTTACATGTGTTTTCTCTAATATTTACAGTATTTTATTACTTTTGTCTGTTTTTACAGTATTTCAGTTTTCAGACACAGTTTAAAAATTGTCATGAATTCAGTGTTACAGTTTTTCTTGTTTGCTTTGATGCAGCCGTCAACTGAAACTCCACATTTTCAAAACAGTTAACACACAGGCCTAAACAGCGGCACTCATGGTCAAAATGACACATTATGCTTGCAAAAGGCACATACCGTGTCAAAACATTAAAAATATGCAACAAAAGCTAGTTTTACCTTCAAACTACACAACTTGCAAACAAGTATATGAGCTCTTTCAATTAATCATTAGACAATGGACAACAAAAAATAAAATACAGATCTCAGTGTGAATTCTATTTGGGCTGTCAAATTGGCCTTTTTGCAAAGAATTGGATCAGGAATAAGATGTGCTTTGATTAAACTTGTATTGAATTCATGACATTTTTCAAACTGTGGCTGAAAACTAAAATACCGTAAAAAAAAAAAAGAAAAATAAAATTTAAAAAAGAAAAAAGTAGCAGAAAAAAGCAGAAAAAAGAAAAAAACTAATAAAATATTGTAAATATTAGAGAAAACACATGTAAACCAATATACAGTCAAATATATTGGGAGTATAGGACATAGCCACTATTGACCTCCTCCATCCATGCTGGCACAGAACAACACAGACCTTCCACCATTTTAATGTTTGCAGACTGATTGCTAAGTGAAGATTTGTGTGAAGGAGTGTCAAACCGGTGCTTCATTGAATTCATACTGATCTTGGTGGTTTCTAATGGTTAGGAATAGATGGTTTCAGTTTGGTTACCAAAACTAAAACAATGAAGTTTGGACTGCTTGAATGACATCCGTGTTAACTGTTTTGAAAAATGGTGGGGAAAATGTGCCAACCCAATGAGAAAGCGTTTACACATTTGCAAGACCGGTCCTCTGCTCTGCTGGGATAGTGAAAATAAAAATGAAGTGGAACCTAGTTTCTTTAACCAGGTCAAAGCAAACAAGAAAAACTATAATATAAGGTTTGCAGACTGATTGCTAATTAAAGATTTGTGTGAAGGAGTGTCAAACCGCTGCTTCAGTGAATTCAATCTAATCTTGGTAGTTTCAAATGGTTTGGAATAGATGGTTTCAGTTTGGTTACCATGGTTAAAACAATGGAGTTTGGACTGCTTGAATGACATCTGTGTTAACTGTTTTGAAAAATAGTGGGGAAAATGTGTCAACCTAATAGGAAAGGGTTTACACAATTGCAAGACCGGTCTTCTGCTCTGCTAGGAAAGTGAAAATGAAAATAAAGTGGAACCTAGTTTCTTTAACCAGGTCAAAGCTAACAAGAAAAACTGTAAATGGTACTAATGAACCCAAACCCAAATCTCCCCCACACCATTACACCCCCACCACCAGCCTGAACCGCTGATACAAGGCAGGATGATCCATGCTTTCATGTTGTTGAGTCCAAATTCTGACCCGACCATCCGAATGTGTCAGCAGAAATGGAGACTCATCAAAGCAGCAACGTTTCTCCAATCTTCTATTGTCCAGTTTTGGTGAGTCTGTGTGAATTGTAGCCTCAGTTTCCTGTTCTTAGCTGACAGGAGCGGCACCCGGTGTGCTCTTCTGCTGCTGTAGCCCATCCGCCTCAAGGTTGGACGTGTTGTGTGTTCAGAGATGCTCTTCTGCAGAGCTCGGTTGTATCGAGTGCTTATTTGAGTTACTGTTGCCTTTCTATCAGCTGGAACCAGTCTGGCCATTCTCCTCTTACATCAACAAGGCATTTGCGCACACAGAACTGCCGCTCACCGGATGTTTCCTCTTTGTCGGAGCATTCTCTGTAAACCCTTGAGATGGTTGTGCATGAACATCCCAGTAGATCAGCAGTTTCTGAAATACTCAGAGCAGCCCGTCTGGCAGCAACAACCATGCCACGTTCAAAGTCTCTTAAATCCCCTTTCTTCCCCATTCTGATGCTCGCTTTGAACTGCTTTGACCATGTCTACATGCCTAAATGCACTGAGTTGCTGCCATGTGATTGGCTGACTAGACATTTGCGTTAACGAGCAGTTGGACAGGTGTACCTAATAAAGTGGCCAGTAAGTAAAGCAAATGAAATTCTCCCCTCAGCCTTTATTATTACTGATTTACTATTGTAATTGATTATTTTACCTACAGTACTCCTGTGCATGGATGTTTAATGTTCACGCACTTCTCTTAGATGAACTGCTTTGGTTAGATTTGTTTAAGGAGCCGCCCGTGTGGCTTTTTACATCTATTTAAATTCTGTACTGCAGGTAAACAAGACGCAGTCACATGTGGGACGCAGAAAAGCTGAACGGAGGATTTAAAAGAGAAAATAGACACAGAGCTGAAGAGAAAACAGAGGAAAATACACAACCACACATTCACACACATGCACACTCTATCTCTCTCTAACACACACACACACAGTTTCTCTCACACACACACACACTCTCTCTCTCTGGTCACTGTGTGTTTTTCAGGGAGGCAGAAGTGCTGATTCACAGGGTTTTTTTCTGTTAATTGCAACTGAAAAGCGCTAAAGTGTGTCTGAAGCTCTTTATCCTTCAGTGCTGCTGCTGTTCTTGCACACACACACACACACACGCGACTCAAGCACAGCAACAGCCTCAGAAAAACACAACAACAACAACAACGTGTTTTTAATCTTAAAGCGTTCCTTTTACACTAACATTTATAAAGGAAGTCAATTAGGCAAAAACAGCCACCAGCATAACCAAAGCGGAGTCAATCTGAACAATACACAAGGGTTAACGTGTGTATGTGTGTGTGTGTGTGTGTGTTTCAGTGTCTCTTCAGGACATCACCATGAGGAAGGCGTTCCGCAGCTCCACCATCCAGGACCAGCAGTTGTTTGAGCGCCAGTCTCTCCCCGTCCCCATGCAGGAGACGTATGAGCTGTGTGAACAACCCCCACCGCTGAACATCCTGACGCCCTACAGGTCAGACACACACACACACCAAATGGCACACTATGGCCTTATAAACTATGCACTCAACACACTCAACAGCAAATACTAGATGAATTTAGTGACTTCCTGGAACACTAATGTATTTTACTAACTGGAATGTTTTCCTGATGACGACTGTCAAATTATGGAAATAAAAGACCAAACTACCAAATAGTAGCTGTATAACTTATTTTTAACAGGTCGAATAAGTGCGTCATCTGACAAATTAAAGTGCATTTATTCGTTTTAGAATACAAATAACATGTCAGTGGGATTACTTTCACTATTCGTACTACAAAAGGGTGTAGAATAATGCATAAGTATGCGATTTGGGACGTACCTCCAGTCACACACACTTCTACAATCTACCAAACTAGTTTGGTAAATAGTGTTCAAATCAATGACTGTAAAAAATATGGACGACGTGACAGCCCCTTTTCCCATTAAACGCCTTGAGGGCAAAACGCCTGCTTGACGGGCACAAACTGTCGCAAAAGACTGCTGAAATTGGAGCCTTGACATGCGCAGAAGGATTGTCTGGTGGAGCCAGAGGAGGAGCCGCGAAAATGAGCGGAGTCGAGCTTCCAACCAAACGCTTTATGTAAAATCAACCACGCCCCCCGAACTTCTCAGCATGCGTTTGCTGTCATATCAACACAAATGGATGTAATAACGTTAACAAATATGAGGGGTTTATATATTCAATCGCGCCAGCTCCGGGCCGCAGCGCATAACCTACTCGCGGCGTCGCGGGCTGATTCCGGCTCGCATGCGGCAGCGCCTGCTCGCTCGGCCGCCGCATCTGGCTTGATTGACTCGGGCTGGAATCGGGCAGTGAGTCCAGGCATCCGGAGTAGGTCCAGCAGAGGTAGTCAGTCTGAGCTCTGAGGGATAAGTCTCCGGCAGGCGAGAATCTAGCCGGAACTGGCCTGAGTGTATTTTAGTGTATTTCTAGGCGTACGTGCATCAGCAAACTAATAAAGCCCGAAAAAAGCCCTGACCTTAGCGAATAAACAGTGTTCCACCAGGATCATGTATGTCAGAAACTGTAGTTTACTGCTGAACTCATTTTGTCATGGTAAAATAACACAGAAATCCAATAATAACACTTCAGTCTCCTGCCGAAGCTCAGACGCGCTGCTTTGAGAAACTGTCAATCACAGCTGTCAATCACGATGACACGCCCAGCATTAAATTACTGCTAATAACAAACTGTTTACAAAAATGAAGATCTGCACCTATTTCAGCACAATAACCAGTGCCTTAATCCACCAGAACCATCTTTCGGGACATTTTATTGCAAGTGTAATTAATTTTTTTATTTGGGCTCAAGTCTCCTTCATTAACACGGAGGAGGCGGGCTTTATGACTTGCACTGCAGCCAGCCCCCAGGGGGCGATCTAACGGCCGAGACCTTCACTCAAACGCAGGCTTGCGGCACACTTGGTTTAACTACTTAAGAACACTACAGCAACCACCTAGCAACACCTTAGCAACAGCCTAGACATCAGGGTCCATTTATATTGACAAGAAGCCTTTTATTATTATTATTATTATTATTATTATTAAATCATACAGACTGAAATAACAATAATAATGACATATATCAATTCAACTACCCGTAGTCTTACAAATCCAAGTTGCACATTGTATTCTTGAGTTTCAGCGCCCCCTATTGCTGTAAATGAATACAATTTGTCACATTAACTCAGACTGTCCTAATGCACATCTGCACCATTTTTAGTTGAATTTGGACTTTGTGTCAGCAATATACTGGCCAAAATGTTTTGATTCGGACAAGCATTGAGACAACACTTCATCAGAACCAACACTGCAAGACAAACAGCCCAGTTAACTTAAGATTTATTTATATGTCATCCAGATTTAGAGGGAAGAATTTAGACTGTGTTCCTTGAGACTGTTGCTGGATTATTAGTATTATTCTTTCAAAGCATTTGATTGGATCTAATGGTACTTTTACTTGAGTATGATTTTTCAGTACTCTGTCCACCACTGCCCCCGGTATACACCGTCCTTCCAAAATGCTGATGTCTATGTGTAGTTTGGTATAATACATGTTCAATAAAGCGTATTAAGGGCCATATTCATAACACGCGCTTACCCAAATCGATCAAAAATGAAATGTCTTTTACCTTTTTTTAATCAGAACCATGGGTTGGAAAAGGCTGGTTTCTGTTAAAATGCAACGTGGCAGAAACATTTCACTGGTAAAAAGTAAAACTATTTAGACACAGAGTGGATTTCTCCTTGATACTCACCTGAAAACTGATGTGCTCTCAATCGCTTCATGCTGTTTGTTGTGCCGTTTTCTCTTATGCGTCATTACTGAAGAGCAGAGCATCTATTCTGACAGAGCTGTAATATGCATGAGCTCTCTCTCTCTCTCACACATTCCCTCATTAAATCACGAAGACAGGAACACCGTCGGCTCTTCCTTTAGACATCCGCACAGATGCTTTCCTGAAAACCAGCATCTCCTGATGAGAATGACACGAAACAGATCCCTTCATTCTGCTGTTATTTATAATAAACACAAGCAAATACACAAACACAGCAGCGTGAATATGTCAAACATTTGCAGAAAACAACGATTGCAGTAGTTATTATTTGGCCGTCGGGAATATTGAATTGTGATTGGTCAGTCGTGACATTCTAAGATATGTTATGTAAGGTATGAAGTACATTGAGGATTTGTTTTCACAGAATAAAGCCTGACACGTTTATCAGCAGCTGTTGTATAAGACTCAAGGGTTTACTACAATATTTATGTTCTTTATCCCGCTTATTAAATCACCACTGGTCACAAAACATAAACATTAGGCACAAATACATTGTTCTGAGCTATAATAGTTGATTAATTCTTCAATTAAACACAAAGCTGACAAACTAAAACAGCTGACGGAGTATACACTAACCTGCACACACAAACCCAGAGTAAACACACTAGAATACGCTCAACACTAACAAACGCAACACCTACACGCACACTTTTACAAACAGTGCACACCTGCAGCACTTTAATCTGCTATATTTGCTCATTTGCATTTAATTTTGCATATTTTAATAATGATAATAATCATTAATTGATTATTGAAAAAAAACTTAGTCCCTTTATTTATCAGGGGTCTCCACAGCGGAATGAACCGCCAACTATTCCAGCAAGTGTTTTACACAGCGGATGCCTTTCCAGCTGCGACCCAGAACTGGGAAACACCCATACACAATCGCACGCATGCATGCACAACGGCCAATTTTGTTCCTCATTCCCCTATAGCGCATGTGTTTGAAACCAGCCAGAGGAAACCAATGGCAACATGGGGAGAACTTGCAAACTCCACACAGAAATGCCGAAACTCGAACTAGCGACCTTCTTGCTGTGAGGCGACAGTACTAACCACTGAGACAGCGCATATGCGGTATAGGGGAATTGATGAACTAAACTGGCCGTAGTGTGTGAATGTGTGTATGGGTGTTTCCCAGTACTGAGTTGCAGCTGTAAAGGCATCCGCTGTGTAAAACATATGCTGGAAAAGTTGGCGGTTCATTACGCTGTGGCGAGCACTGTTAATTAAGGCACTAAGCCAAAATGAATGAATGAATGAATGCAATGTTATTGTAAAGTGTTTCCCAAATCAGTGACTAACACACAAATCTACAGCTCGTGTAAGTTTGTGTTTTTATGCAAATGAGCCGTTTATCTGATGGTCTGAGAGGTGATAATTGGGTCGTTTTTTTCTCCGCTCGTCTGGCATTTTGACCGGCAAACTCAAATTAAAAGTGAGAAGAGTGTGAAGATTTTCCAGAGACAGAAGCGGATGTGAGAAGCAGAGGAGGTGTGAAATCAACACGATCGCACAATCCTGATGAAGAACCACAGTCTGCTACACTGCACTGCCAACAACACTTCACTTATCAGGAGTTTTCGTCTTGTTTCTAGTGCAAATATCTGAACATGCTTACATCAAGTAGCACTTTCTGAATGAGGGGCTAGCAATGTGGCCTCACAGCAAGAAGCTGGTTCGAGCCCCGGCTGGGTCAGTTGGCGTTTCTGTGTGGAGTTTGCATATTCTCCCCATGTTGGGTTTTCTCCGGGTGCTCCAGTTTCCACCACAGTCCAAACACATGCACTATAGTGGAATTTAGGAACTAAACTGGCCATAGTGCGAGTGTGAATGGGTGTTTCCCAGTACTGGGTTGCATCTGGAAAGGCATTCGCTGTGTAGAACATATGCTGGATGGTTCATTTTGCTGTAGTGACCCCTGATAAATAAGAGACTAAGCTGAAGGAAAATGAATGAATGATTAATATATGAATTATTATAATATATATGCAATTAGTAATAATTATGCGTTATAATGCTCATCATAATAATTGGACACTAATATAAAATACTAATATACTATCATATGCATCATAATACTTCAACGATAACAATATTATAATTACATTAGAGAGGAATATGCAGGACCATGTCAAAAAAATTTGATGACCAAACCACAACTTTAAGGCGGGACTTCTGGTGTAAACCCCGCCCCTTTTAATACAAATGTAATAATTGTATATGCAATAAATGTATAATAAATTTAATAAAATGTAATGGATTCTTATCAATCGAATTAAATTATAATTCCTGCAATTAAAATATGATATTAAATTAAATGTTTTAAAAGCGTTAATTAGATTTTACTCAAATTAAATAAATTCTCAACTGTTATTAAAACCACTTTATATTTTAATTATAACAATAAATTATATTATTATGATTATAATATTTTGATCATACTATATCATATACTATTATATTATAGTTAATATTAGCATATGCATCACTGTACGTCATTATAGTATTAAATATTTCTCCTTTGGGTTCTTGCCTGCGCGCTGGTATGACCACTTAATTAAAACTCACTTAATTTCAGCTCACTTCTGAAATAAATAACAAAAACACTGAAAACACTGAAAACATTTATATATTCATTATCATTTAAAAATATTATAATATGGTCAAATTGGTCTTATTTTTTTGTATCATTCGATGTTAAATAGGTCTTCATATTTATCTAAGCTCAGAGTTTTAGTTAATTTTTATGTTTAAAAAAAGGCCAATTTAGTTAATCAACTCCCCTATAGCGCATGTGTTTGGACTGTGGGAGAAACCGGAGCACCCCCCGTGTTGGTTTCCCCCACAGTCCAAACACATGCGCTATAGGGGAGTTGATTAACTAAATTGGCCGTAGTGTATGTGTGTGAATGTGAGTGTGTATGAGTGTTTTCCAGTACTGGGTTGCAGCTGGAAGGGCAACCACTGTGTAAAACATATGCTGGAATAGTTGGCGGTTCATTCCGCTGTGGCAACCCCTGATTAATAAAGGGGCTAAGCTGAAGGAAAATGAATGAATGCATCATAATGTGTGTGTGTATGTGCGTGTGTGTGTGTTTGTGTGTGTGTGTGTGTGTGTATATGTGTGTGTGTGTGTGTGTTTGTGCAGGGATGATGGGAAGGAAGGTCTGAAGTTCTACACAAACCCGTCGTATTTCTTTGACCTGTGGAGAGAGAAGATGCTGCAGGACACTGAAGACAAGAGGAAGGAGAGGCGGAAACAGAAGGTGAGGGGAGCGGGGCCAGTGCAAAGGGGGTGTGGTCTGTAAATTAGGGTGGGGCTCCACCAATGACATGTAACAAAATCACATTTGTATGTAGACTTACAAGTATTTAAGAAAAGAATAACATGCAGACATGCACACGCAAAAACACGCAGACACATACACACAGACACACACATGCAGTGACACACACATACATGCATACTCAACTACACACATGCACAATCACAAACACACACACACAGATATAGATGCACATGTTCATGCACACACACATGCAAGCAAACAAAGACATAGACATTGCACACTTACACATGCAGACATAGATACACATGTCCATGCACATGCAAACACACACAGACATGCGGACAATCACAGGTGCACACACACACATTCAGACAAACATATGCACATGCACACATATCCTTGCACAAGCAGATACAGAGATACACGCACACACACACACACACACACACACACACACACACACACACACACACACACACACACACAGAGTGAGCAATCACAGGCTAATTAGCAGCAGATTGTGTGTTTACGCTTGACGGCAGATTCTGCTGTTTCTGAATGTTGCTGAAGTAAAGCCGCTTCTGCTTCTGTACACTCTACAAACACGTTATAATATCTATATACATACATACATACATACATACATACATAAACATATATATATATATACATATATATATATATATATATATATATATATATATATATATATAGCTAAAAATCATATACAAGCAGCTATTGCTATAATACATCATTTTGTAACTTGCATTGAAACAAATGAACTGAAATCAATTTTAAAATTACAGTTGGTCAGCTCTTTACAGTGGAAATGTGTCATTTATTACAGACAGACAGATCGATAGATCGATAGATCGATAGATAGATAGATAGATGATGGATGGATGGATGGATGGATGGATGGATGGATGGATGGATGGATGGATGGATGGATGGATGGACGGACGGACGGATGGATGGATGGACGGACACACAGAAAGACAGACAGACAGACAGACAGACAGACAGACAGACAGACAGACAGACAGACAGACAGACAGACAGACAGATAGATAGATAGATAGATAGATAGATAGATAGATAGATAGATAGATAGATAGATAGATAGATAGATAGATAGATAGATAGATAGATAGATAGATAGATAGACAGACAGACAGACAGACAGAAAGAGGAATGGACGTACGGACGGACGGAAAGATTGATGGATGGACGGAAGGACGAACAGATAGACGGACCAATAGACAAACTGACAGACAGACAGACGGATGGATAGATGGACGGACAGATAGATAGATGGACCAATAGACGGACGGACGGACGGACGGACGGACGGACGGACGGACGGACGGACGGACGGACGGACGGACGGACGGACGGACGGACGGACGGACGGACAGACAGACAGACAGACAGACAGACAGACAGACAGATAGATAGATAGATAGATAGATAGATAGATAGATAGATAGATAGATAGATAGATAGATAGATAGATAGACTGACAGACAGACAGATAGAAAGACGGACAGAAGGACGAACAGATAGACGGACCAATAGACAAACTGACAGACAGACAGACGGATGAATGGATGGGTAGATGGACGGATAGATAGATGGACCAATAGACAGACAGATAGATAGATAGATAGATAGATAGATAGATAGATAGATAGATATATGTATAGACTGAAAGATAGAAAGACGGACGGAAGGACGAACAGATAGACAGACCAATAGACAGACAGACAGATAGAAAGAAAAATAGATAGATAGATAGATAGATAGATAGATAGATAGATAGATAGATAGATAGATAGATAGATAGATAGATAGATAGATAGATAGATAGATAGATAGATAGATAGATAGATAGATAGATAGATAGATAGATAGATAGATGAATAGACTGACAGATAGAAAGATGGACGGAAGGACGAACAGATAGACGGACCAATAGACAGACAGACAGATAGAAAGATAGATAGATGGATGGATGCATGGATTGATGGACAGACATACAGCTAAATAGGTGTGTTTGCGTGCGTGGGTGTGTGTGTGTTTGCGTGCGTGCGTGTGTGTTTGCGTGCGTGCGTGTGTGTTTGCGTGCGTGCGTGTGTGTTTCTCCTAGCCTGAACTCTGAATAGCAGCACGATTCCAGTTATTTCTGGCCTGAGTTAGCGCATCCCGCTGACAGACTCTGAGTGTGTGTGTGTGTTAGAGTGCGTGTTTGTGTGTTAATAGATAAATGTGATATACTCCTTACTAAAGCTT